TCCTTTCCCTTCCCTTCCTTTCCCTTCCCTTCCCTTCCCTTCCCTTCCCTTTCCTTCCCTTCCTTTCCCTTCCCTTCTTTCCTTCCCTTCCTTTCTCTTCCCTCTACCTTCTGACTTATGTCTTTGCGTCTGCATGGGAAGGCTGATAACAACATCAACTGTGATGTTGGGAAGATGCAGTGAGTTTGGTGAGAGTCATTACGAATTACACAATGTAAACATGACACCCAGCAGATAATCAAGGCTTACTGCTGCTGCATGGAGCAAAAATGAGTAAAACAAATTTCAGGGCATTTGAGGACCACTTATGTTTGAAGTATTCTGCCAAAGCTACCTACCTCCGATTAATTCAGAACATTGGAAAATCTCTTGAACTGAACCACATGAAATTAATTCCTTGTTATGAGATGCTCTAGAAGAACAGGGCATTGGCTATATATATATATATATATCTTCCATTCTACATTCAAGGAAAAGGGAATCTGTATGTCTTAGTCAGCTCATAACAAGACATAATAGACTAGGAGACTTAAATGGCTAAAGTTAACTTCTCATTGTTTTGGGGGCTCAAAATCCAAGCCCATGATGCCAGCATGGTTGGGATTTTGGTAGGGACCTTCCCTGGAGCTCCTCGTGCATTCTTGCTGCGCTCCTGTGTGGAGGCAGGGGAGATAGCAGGATGACTGATTCTTCCATCAGGGCACTGACCTCATCATGAGCATTAGGAGCCCACCTCGAAGACCTCACATCAGGAGTTAAGTTCTTAATATATGAATTTTGAAGAAAAAAAAAACCCTCACAGTTCATAGTACAATTATATTTAAAAGTAAGAAAAAATTACTCTGATGCATTGTATGAGTGGTCTTATGAAGCCAATATTCACACACAATAGCTTTAGGAACAGGAAAAGTTATGATTGTGTTTTTGAAGATTTTTTTTTTTAAATTCATCCACTTTATCTATGTGTGTGTGTGTGTGGGGGGTGTGTCTGTGCATGTGTGTGTATGTGCTGAGATCAGATGATAACTTCAGAAGTCAAGTCTCCCTTTCCACTACGTATTTCTTTGCATTTATCTATGTTCACATGTGTGTGACACAGCTTGCCCAAGGAGGTCAGAGGTCAACTTGTGTGAATCAGTTCTCTCTTTCCACAGCCTGAGTTTCAAGTCATCAGGCCTGAAAACAAGGACCTCTACTTTGTTTTGAAGCAGGGTCTCACTTGAGGCTGCTGCCTGCTGGCCCAGGAGCTTCCCGCTGATTTTTCTGCCTCCTGAATATAGGCTTATAGGAGACAAGGATCACAGCCATCTGGCTTTTTATGTTGGTCCTGGCATTGAACTGAGGTCGCTTTATGTGTCAACGGCTTCTACTTGCTTCTATCATCTCCTTGGCCCATCTTTGAGGATTTAAATGTAGCTTTTCTGGGCAAAAAGGCCATCATTCTGGAAGTTATATTTAAGGTGTTGGACGGTATGGGATTCAGATATTCTGCTCATGTGGAAGAGCAACAGAGTGATGCCAGGAAGATGCTTATGTAAGTCTGCACATAATTATTTATTTTCTTTATCTTACCAATCACGTGACAATGGAAAAGTTATTTTGCAATGAAATGTCTAGTAGATGAGGCTGACAAAGCAGCTGGAGGTTTTTGTTTTGTTTTGTTTTTCTTTTTTTTGAGACAGGGTCTTCGTATTCCTGGCTGGGCATTTTGAGATCAGCTGACGACCTCTTCTTCCCACGTGATGGGAAGACCATTGCTGAGCAGTCTCTCCAGCCTCAGGCCAGGCAGTTTTGCAGTTATTACTGCTGTAAGGACAGAAGTTGCTATGTAAGGTGGCCACCACGGTGCCTGGTACAAGCAGGGATTTAAAAAATCTTTTATTTTTAGTGTGTGCGCGCGTGCGTGCGTGCGTGCATGCGTGTCGCTATGCATGTATGTATCGGCACCATCTATGTGTATACCTGGTAGCAGAAGATGCCCCCGAGCTGGATGTACAGATGTACAGGTGGTTGTGAGCCACCATGTGGGTGTCAGGAGCAGAGCCTGGGCCATCTGCTAGATCGTCAAGAGCTCTTCACATCGCAGAGCGGTCTCTCCAGCCCCAGGCAGTTTTGCAGTTATTAATGCTGCGTGGGTTAAGGGCACCTTTGCCTCCAGTACCTAGTGGCAATCCTTTCTGCTTCCTTCTGCTACATGATTTTTTTAATCTTAAAAAATGGCTCCAAGTTGTAAACACCTCATGCCCTAATGAAACTAGATTGCCTGTGGTCAGGATGAACACTTAAATAGAAGATTCTGTCAATGAAATTCAAATGAATAGTTTCTCCGAGGAGCAAATAACATCACGGTATACTGGGACCTGATAAATTATCTGGTCCCCTAATGAGATGTTTAATAAATGTGTGCTGACTGAGTAACAGTAAAATAAATGAAAGGGAAACAGTCAGACTTGAAGACTTAATAAGTGCTTCTTTCTGGATGGTGGAATTATGATGGCTTTAAAATTTTTTCCATATTTAGCTTCCAAGTTTTTCACATTAAAAAAACAACAACAACAAACAGCCAAATTCACAGCCTAGTGTGGTGACACATCCCAGATTTTCCAGCACTTAGGAAGAAGACGTTGGAAGATACAAGTTCAAGGCCAACGGAGGCTGTGTGTTGTTTTGTCACTCAGAACAACAGAATCACAAGGAGCATGGAAACACTTGGACTAACTTTCAAACTAGCTTTAAAAGTTCACGGAATGGTTGGGCTTTCAGCAGGACCGTGTGCAGTGCTTGCTCTGTGGCCTTCTGTCACCTCTGAGGATTTCAAGTCACAGGGCAACCCCAGAGCTTCTGGCTTGGGAGATCTCTGAGAGCCCTTGTCTGAGACTGGTCAGAAGGAAGAGGGTACAAGACAGGTCTACTTCAGAGAGCTCTGGCTGTTTAGGAAGGTCTGTGCAGATGAGGAAAGGCGAGAGGAGGTGAAGAACACAGTCCAGGTTCCTCCATGTTCCCTGTATGTAAACGCTGACACGGACACACACACATACATCTGCTTATGTTTTTCTTTCATTTATCACCAGTGAAACTTTGGGGGCCACGTCCTATCCGCACCAGAGAATGGTTGACTACATTTCAAGAAACTCAGCAGCAATGATCAACCTCTTCAAGAAGGAACTTAAAGAGGAAAAAAAAAAAAAAAGAAGCTTGCTAACTTTGGGGTTAACACATATTGAAAATGATCACCCTGTTTATTTGCTTCTTATGCTAGACACCAAGTGTCTTCCTTGGAGGGCCACCACAGTTATTTTCTTCTTGCTTTCTTATGGAGCTCCCGAGGAAGAGACCACTATCAACTGCTTTTTGCAGGAAGAAAAGCTGGCTAAAAATTCCACAAGCACTTCGCCTTCCTAGCCATCGCCTTTCAAGGGCTTAGGCTGCAAATCCAGGCTACAAAAAGAAAAATAAACCAAAATATGGGTACTTAAAAATGCAATCCAAGTTGAGTTTTACGAACAATGTAATAATAGCCTTTGACACTGAAAAAAGAGATGAAAAAAAGAATTGAATTTAAAAATAAAGAGGCCAACTTCCCAGACACTAACGGGTAGGCTTTAGCTCATTTCATTAAGGGGAATTATGAATTTGCTTTTCAATTAGGTGTCATATCTCTGTCACAGCTGTGTCTTTTTCTGTCTTCCAACTTTACCCTGGCCGAATGTGGGAAGTGAATTCGGGTGTGTGTGTAATCGGTGACGTCTGGGAAGGATCTTTTACCCCCATTGTTTTCTTGGGTGTCCTCGCTCTGGGGCCCTGACATTCTTCACAGTGTCTAAGGCAATGAAGGGAGCAGGGAAGCGCGGGGAAGCTGCACAAAAGACATGCAAAGCCTATCAGCGCCGAAAGATCAATTCAGTGTGCCCAGTGTGCCTGGGATGAGGAGAAAAATACTTCTTCCCAAAGGGAAGGACATCGGTTGACCTGCGGGGGTCCACAAAGAACTGGCCCGCCAGCGGGGGTGGGGGGTGGGGGGAGACGAGGACGGGCTTTCTAGGTCCCCAGTCAATGTCTCCGCTGGCGCGCCCTCGCCCCCTCTGTCCTAAGAGGCCCGGGAGGGTGGGGGAAAGCCGAGCAGGGCGTCCGCGTCTTTCCCCAGCAGCTCTTGGCTTCTCCCACGTCGCAGACGCTCCCTCCTTCATTCATCTTGCAGGCACTGCAGCTCGGAGGCAAGGTGGAGCCGTTCAGAGGCGGGCCTCGTGGCCTTGGCGGCGGCCCGCCCCGCCTCGGAGGGTAGGGCGAGGCAGCGCCAGCCTGCCCGAGTCAGCCCGGAGCTGGCACGGTCTCTCCCAGGTCTCTGGATCTGCAGGACACATCCCCCCTCCCCGCCTCAATCTCGTGAAGCCTCCATCCGCACCCACGCCTCCAACCAAGTGACAGGCCCGGGAAACGCCAGGCGAGATACAGCCTTCCGATCTAGGTCTGCCTCCCCGACTGCACGGGTGCGCGCTAAATCACTCACACACACACACACACACACACACACACACACACACACACACACACCTCACCCTCCACGCAAAACATACACACACACACACACACACCACGCTCCGGCTGCACCCACGCGAGCCGCACAAGACACACTCCGCCCTTCCTGCAGCGTTCGCGCACACACAACAGCCTTCCTGTAGCACGCGTGTGCATTCACCCACCAAGCTCGCTCCTGCTCTCCCTGCAGCGCACACACACACACACACACGCACACACGCACACACGCACACACGCACACGCACAGGCAGGCACCCAGCCCCAAGCCCGTCCACCCTCCTCCCTCCCGGCTACCCCCGCCGCGCAGCCGGTCTTCCCGGAGCGCCGCGCCCGGCGGCCTCCGCAGGCCCCGCCCCGGGGGAGGAGAGCCGGACGCGCGCGGGAGCCGGCCAGGGGAGGGGACGGGCGGCGGGGGAGTGTCTGGCTGCCCCCGCCCCTCGAGTGAGCGGCTGGGCGCGGAGGTCCCCTCCCTCCCCGCCCGGAGCCTGCCAGCTCCCGCTCGCTCCCTGCCCACTCCCGGGGGGCCGATCCGTGGCGCGGGCCGCCGCGGCCACCGCTTCTTTCACACTTTAGTTGCGAGCCGCGCGCCGCGCTCAGTGACTGGAGAGCTGGCCGCGCGCCGCCTTCCTGCACGCACGCACGCGGGCCGGGCTCCGGGTTTTTTTTTTTTTTTTTCTGCTTTTTTTACTCCAGGCGGCGGGGAGGAGGGGGAGCCCCCGGCCACACTGTAGGGAGGAGGAGGACGTGAAGGAGGGAGAAAGAGCACAGGCGAGGAGGCCAGGGGCGGGGGGCGGGGGGCTTGCCACCTTCGGCCCCCCCCGCGAGCGCCCCAAGGTAAGCGGGAGCCGCCGCCGGCGCGCTGGGCATCCCGGGTGGGCGAGGAGGGAGGCCTGCGGGGTGTCTGCCGGAGGGATGGGAGCCCGGATCCCCGCGCTGCCGGCGGGCTGCCGGTGCTGGGCTGCCGCTGCCGCTGCTGCGGGGTTGCTAGCTGCAAGGGACCGGAGCCGGGCTGGGGGGAGCTGCGGGGGGAAGGGGGGCGTCTGCCTGCGGGGTGGAGGGGCTGGGATGCGGTTAGGGCTGCTGACGACTTTCGTCACATCGAGGCCTGGGTGGCTGGTGTGAGACACCCCTCCCTTCCCACCCGCACCCCGCGCCGCCCTCAGCCTTCCTGCTCTTCTCTAGCTTTGCCTGTAGCCGCTGTTACTTTGCAAGCAGGAGCAGGGAAAGGGAGGTGGGGTGGGGGGAGAAAACCACCCAAATTTAGAATCTTTGGCTAAGTCTCCGAGTCGCTTCTCTCGCTCCCGCTGATGGGATGCGTTTACGTGGGTGATGCCGATCCCCCGGGTTTCCGAAGTTTTGACCTTTTCGGAGTGGCTTGTTTTCTGTACATCTGTTTGCCTTCCTGGTTGTATTTATTATTCGTGCCCTTGCGCGGCAGCCCGAGGGTGCTTGGTTATGTTACGGGAGCGGATTTCTCTCCCCTCTGCAGGCAGTTCGAGAAGTGCCGCGGTGGCTGGGCTGCCTTTGCTCAGCTGCTTAATGTCCTTCCCTATCAGTCGCCCTGCCCCCTCCCTCCAGAGAGATATTTTTTTTTTATACCCCTGTTTAATGTGTGTGTGTGGGAGAAGTCCCTAGGCTGAAAGGCTTTCATCGCCCATTCATTCCTCCTGTGAAGGCCCTGAATGGCTCAGGCATGTTGATAAAATTTGGGGGGGTGCCTTTCCTTGCTCATGGAGTTGCACGGGCCAGAGATAAAAATATACACACCCGAACACATTAATCTTGAGAGATAGCAAATAGCAAGCACAGTTTGGGAGGGAAGTGATTTGTTTCCAGGAGGAAGTTGGCAACCTATGAGATACCTTCGTCGCATGTGAGTTAGGGAAAGTGTTCTAAAATAGAGCTTATGTTCTGTGTAGATGGAAGACAGCCATAAGTTCAGCTGCTGAGCAGCTCTGAAAGCGATGCACCTTGATCAACCAGAACCTCCAGTGAGGACGCTCTACACTGACTCACACACTGGGAGGGGGCCGGTTGGCCACGGGTGCCCTGCAGTACTTTTTACCTTTTAGACGCATGGGGGAACTGACAAGCTCATTACACAAATGGTTACAAGGAACACCTTCCAATTCAAGGCGCTGGTGTTCCCGTTCTACCTAATGAGAATAACCTTTGAGTTGGGTAGAATTGGGCCGTACCAGGATGAAACAAACACGGGTGGAGTGGGCCTGGACTACTTCAGCTCCCAGGGGGGAAGAGTGCGTGATGTTTAAGGAGGGTCTGCTAAGCCGGAAGTACAGATTTTGGGGGTGGGCGTGGGAGGGGCTCTACCCTTTTTCATACTTTATGTAGCTGGGTTATGTGGCTGACTGAGTGTGTGCTGTGTTGGCTGTTTGGAAATCCAATTGATGGGATTTGGAAATTACCCAGGATTCCATCATCTGGTTTTTTTTTTTTGGGTACTTGACAGGGTAGGAAGGGTCAGTGGGATAGAACAAGCCAGCATACTTAGAGGCATCAGGCACTGTGCTGGAGCTAGCACTTCCGAGATCAGAAATGCTGCGTTGAAGTGCAGTCCCTAGATGTTTGGTACTGGGCAGCCTAGGTTTAGAGCCCAGGACTGCTAAGAAAGAAACAAAGGCAAGAGATCTGGATCCCTTAGGTGGAAGAATGTCTGGGGAGGGGGGGGGGATGAGGCACCTCTGTCCTTTAGCTCTTGCCCTTAAACTTGACACACACCATATCTGATTTTGGAACAAGTAACCTTACTTGCCCTCCCTCCACTGATTGGTAGGGAGGTAGAGAGGATTTCCATCCTCCAGCAGGAAAAAGTTCATTCTACAAGGATCCCAGTGTTCTTAGCATCTCCCTTTTCCAGGGCTAGAAGTTTTCACTCCAAATTGAAAAAACTTACAATTTTGTTTTCTTGGCTGGTAATTTCCCTCCTCCCTAGCCTACCTCCATTAACCATTTTGTATGGATTTCTGGGAGCTGATACATAACACATACAAACATACATACATACATACATACATACTATGTTTCTATGAGATCTTGTCTCAAAGGAGGTGGACAAAGTTCCTGAAGATGACACCTGAGCTTGTCCTCCATTCTTCAGATGTGCTTGCATGTGTGTTCGTGCACACGCACACACACATGCACACACACACTCTTGAAGAGATTTGAGTCTCTTGAAGAGTCACAGATATGAGTGAGGAACATTACACTTCATTGGTACTGTCTGTTGTGACTGATTCAAATGTGCTGCTGAGGATGAAGGTATCTTGCACCATGTCCAGGCCGTAGGTGTTTTAGTGTTGTGTTGGATTTGGCACTGAGCAAGCTTTGCTCAGTGTTGTGTCTGAGTGGCTTGCTCTAGGCTCTCGTCCGGCCACTTCTATTGCATGTTCTTTATCAGAGAAGATGTCAAAAGCTAGTGTCCCTGTGCTTCCCTTAAGTCAGAAAGCTGCAGGAGACGTTTATCTAGAGGAACCTAAGTGTGCCAGTTACCACAGGCTCGAGTGAACTCCTCTGTAGAACTGGTAGCCATACAAACAGCTTTTGTGGCAGGCACGTTTAAATACAGGGGTCACGGGCTTTCAGGTCCTTCTAAGTTTTCTTCTAGCCCTACTTGGAGGACAGCTCCAGGGTGAGACTACGGTGATAGTTCTGGCTGGACGTGGTGCAGGAAGAATGTGAGTGAACAGAAAATGTTCAGCTCGCATTGTCTCATAACACAATGCCTTGTTTTCCTTCAGCTTGTTAGAATTGAGCATGAAGGGGGCGTGGCCCCGCTTTGTGTGTCCTGAATCTGTTTTTCCCCCTGCCGTGTTGCTGGTGTCTCAGGCTGTGGCTGGTGGTTTAAACTGTTTAATTCTGCATCTCCTCGTGGCTAAACTCATGGAACCCAGACTCATCAGAGCTAGGGGGTTGAGGCTGTGCACAGGAATGAACTGGGGTGTGTCAGCAAGCTCTCGCATAGCAGCACACTGCCCGTTGTCAGCCAGAGGCGAGGCTTGGCACATTTGCTCTCACAGTGCAGTTTTACGAGGAAACGGTTTTTACGTAAAAGTTGATTTGCCTCTAACTTTTCAGGAATACAGCGACCATGTCAAGCAGCCCAGACATGTAGTAAATAAGGATTCTCCGTGATAATGGAGGGGTTAGACTTAGTGCCATGAAAAAGTACATCTCTTCAAAAATACCATTTTGGAAATGATTATAGGGCAGTCTCCGCCCCAAGGTGAGTAGAGAATTTCGGGGGGGGGGGGGCGGCACAGGTGCGAAGGCCCCACACAGTGTACGTGCTGGGTGTTCAGACTTTCTCTGACCCCTCTCTGCTTTAGTATGTAGAAGTATGTTTAATGACCTTTTTATTGACGGCGTGTTTGTGTGCATGTGAGCACATGTACATGCGTGTGCAGAGGGTAGCTTTCAGAGGTTGGGTTTCTTCCTGCAACGTGCAGGTCCTAGCGGGTCAAGTCCAGGTTGCTAAGCTTGGGAGCTGCCACCTGTAGTCAATGAGCCATGTCACTGACCCAAGAAGAAATAATTTTATGTTACTAATATGTTTTTCTTTTAAGCAAACATGTGCTTTTTAAGCTATTTCATGGTCCTTCTTCGAGTTTCCCTCCATAGTGTGGGGTGGGGGAAGTAAATTGTATTTAGATAGGTGCCTGACAAAACCCTGAAAAGCAGATTGCAACAGACAGTGCTAAATACTGCTTAGAAAACTGCACACACGCACACACACACACACACACACACACACACACACACACACACACGGAGGGTGAGGTAGGTCTTTTGTACAGGAAGAACTACAATACTGAAAGTGCATTTCAAGTAACAGTGACAGTTTTGACTTCTAGGGCTCATAATTCAAGAGCTTATCCGAAGCGGTGAGTAGGTTACACACACACAGACTTTTCATTTAGCCTGACTGTCTCAGTTCTGAAGTTTAATTTCACAAGTTACAGTTGCAATAAGAAACAAGATGACATGCTGCGGTTATGCAATTATGACAGGAGTGCTTGGGGCTAAACCAGGATAGGATCAACACGGAGTTGAATGCACAGCCGTGTCTGCAGTTGCCAGGTGCCGAGGCGAGCCCTCACTTTCTTGCGAACATGGAGCTGGAAAACTGTGTCTCCTCGGCTGTAAGTCTCTCTGCCCCCTACACCTGGGAAAGAGTGCAGCCTTCCCAGTCTGGATTCAAGCTGCTGACCGTTCACCGCTCAGAAGCCCCCACGGCAGCTGGCAGGGCGTACTACTTTGCACTTGGAAGTCACTCAAGCAGTGATCAAACCGAAGGAATTAACTTAATTAGTTCAGGTCTGCAATGTCTTAAACCTCGGAGAAATACATTAGACGCAGGCATAGTTTTTAATAAATCTGTGTGATAGTTTATTAAGAGTTGTGCATTGCGCCTCAGGGTGGAGTTTTTGAAACATGTCGGTGGGCATGGCAAACAGGATGCTCTGTTAGATAACTTCCACTCTGGGTTAGGATCGTCTCAGTCTGGAATAGCTATCATTTCCACAGCCATTGAATCCTTCTCTCCTGCCACTTCATCTTATCCACCTGAGGAGCTCAGCCAATGCCTCTACCTCTTATCATCTCTTAGGGTTTTCTTTTTGTGTTTAGAATCTCCTTAGACATTCAACTGTAGTGCTAGCAATCAGGGGTTTCCACGCTGGCGTCTCTCCTGGTGACGAGGTCCTGGGAGAGCTCTAGCACTTCCAAGTCCCAGTTTATTAGGTTTACAGCTGCTTCCTCCAAAATAACCTGGAAAAAAAAAAAAAAAAGCAATGTGGAGCCCTGCCCAGGGCAGT